TTTGTTACAGTTTAACTATAATTGTATTACACAATTTAACTAGGAAATAACTTCAAAAATTAATATAATTAATATTTATAACGAGAGATTAGTAACAAAAATTTTTCTAATTAAATTATTTTTTTGTTAAATGAGAGAATAGCTACACAAATATTAATCTTCTAACTATTTTATTACATATTAACTATAACCTTATTTTTATTCTCTAAAACGATCTTTTCTAACGTAACGTGTGAGAACTTTGTAATGCCCCTTAACGCGACCCAACTTGTTAAGATGTAAAAAGACAAAATTAAGGAAAGACGTGTTCTTTCCACCCTAAACCCCAAGTTCTAACACCAAGTTTACATACTACTTCCCCAGTTGCCACTACCTCACCCCCACTCCTGCCGGCACCCAACCCCGTGTCAACTTCCGTCGCCTCAGCCTAGACGACATGGTTGCCCATCGTGAAAAGAGTCTTTGTTATAACTGTGACAAACTATTCACCCCGTCCCCGTCCCAGTTGCAAGGAAAAAAAATTTCTCCTAACTACCAACGACTCTATCGCGGAAGATTTCACACCGGATCCTACTTGGCCCGTAGCCCCACCTCCTCCAGAGCCCGTTTCTGACAAAACTCAACGACCTTATTTCTTTGTATAAAATAATTTAGTTATTAAGATTTATTTCTGTTTCGTAGATTAATTCTTTTCGACTATAAATCAGGAGGTCCTTTGATTGTAACTAATTTGGATTTGCATGGCTATACATAACCTTTCAAAGGAAAGAAAAAAAAAAAAAGCTAAAAATCAAATATTTGTTTGATCTCTCCTCTCAATTACCAGGTTCCCTTAGCCATCAATTAAAAAAGAAAATAGATATATAACATTGAGTTGAGTTAGTGACAAAACAAAACCGGTTAGTAACTTTCTTTAATATTTCATTATATATAGCAATGAAACGTATATTACATGTTATTAAGTTGTTTTTCTAAAAAAGAATATTTCATTATAAATATTAAATATCTATTTTGTCATTTCTTTGCTACAGTTACAACAAAATTATTGCTGAATTACATCAAATGTACTTACAATTAATATATCAATTTTGTAATTTTATAATATACATATATATTATTTATGATTATTATTTATATTTATTTTTTACAAAATTAAACTAGTTTTTCTGTTTCTCTATTTTATAATATTATTATTTATTTATTATTTATCATTTACGAAGTATTTAATATACTAATAATATCAAACTGAAATTGTTATATTTTTTATTAAATTAAAAATATTATTTATATCTCCCACTATCTATTTAATATTCTATTAAAAATGTTAGTAAAGAAATAATTATTTATCAAAAATAGAGTTATGCACCAGCTATAAGTTTTCTAGAATTAACAATAAAAAAAAAATCAAAAAGTTATTTTAAACAAGTTTTAATTTGAATAAACAAAATTCTACATAACTCAAAGTAAATAAAAGGAAAGAAATTCTGAAATGTAAATAAAAAAAATTATAAATTCATTTATCTTTATAATAGTTACAATTTAGATGACTGTAACTGGAATCATGGATAAAAATATTAAATATTTCAATATAAACTATAATTTATTTATTTTTATCATTTATGAAATATGTTTAGTATGACATGAGTTTATAATAAGACATATTTTTGCTATTAACAATAATTATGTTTGTTTTATTAATTATTTTTTTATATATAAAATATTATAAAAAAATTGAGCTCATTTTATATATAATAGTTCAATTAATTGATCCAGTAAAAATACAAACTCTATTTTTGTCTATAAAATTTTTCAATCTATCATCTTCCTCCACACCTTTTATTTTGAAACAATATTCCTTCAACTAATAGTATATTTCCAGAAGTACTTGTTTTATGGTTTAAAATTTATATATTATATGTGTAATGAAATTCTCTTAAGATTATTGGCAAGCATTAAGCTTTCATTACTAAATCTTTTATAACTTTTCCTCTCATTGTTCTTATATTTCATGCAACACTAAGTGATAATATTGGACACCTTTTTAATAATTTTAATATCGTATTATATAATTTTAGTGTAAAGAATATAAAGTAGAAGTGAGTAGTCTAATTACGTTAAAATAAGCTTAACCTATAGTCAAGCCAAGAGATTTAAAAAATAAATCAAGTTAAATTAAAAAAAATTGTAATTTAAATTGAACAAGACATATTTTAACTAAATCTATTTAAGTTTTATATAGACTTAAATTAAATTAGTATGTAAACTTATGAGTGAACGGGTTTTATAAAATAATAATAACTTTAAATTTAATAAGGAACTCACATACTCTAAACATAAATACAAGAGAAAATCTCTAACATTCAAATTATTACGATAAATTATTATTTTATATCAATAACTTTAAATTTAATAAGGAACTCACATATGCTAAACATAATTAATACATGATAAAATCTCTAACCATTACGATAAATTATTATTTTATATCAATAAAATGATAATAATTAAGAATAATTTTTTAACTATTATTTTGAGATTAAATTTTTTTCTTATAATTTATGTATTAAATTATTATATTTGAAATAATAATTAATTTAATTAATATAATTTAAATTTTTAAAATATATTTTAAATTTTTGTTTAAATATTTTAATAAAAACACATCAATAATTTTTTTTAATTTTCAATAAAGTCAAAATTAATCCATCAACTCATTAGCTTAATATAAAATCTTATTAGACCAAAAATTATGTCATGTTTAAAAATATAAACATAAATTAGATTAGACCATCAATTTTTTTTTATTTTGACCATATTACTCATCATTTTATCAGGTATACTAAAAAATGATGTGATAAGCTAAATATTGTCTTGTGAGATTGTTAAGAATATTTTAATCTTAATAATTTTTCTTTAGATTCATAATTAATGCAGAGGGCTTGATCCTATATTAACTGAATAATCTACTAAGGTGAATTGAGAAAAAGGTTTTTTTAATAAAAAAATTAACAGGTTAAACTCTATATTTAAAATTCTTATTTGCACTAAATTAAAAATATCAATTACATCAATCTCTATATAAGAATCATTTATATATTCTTTCGTATAAAATTAAAACTTTTAAGAAGATACTATCTTAAATATAGTTTAAAAATTGATTGTAACAATATTATAATAGATATAAGTTTGATCTTGTGTTTCTAAAAACAAATGTTGACCCAAAAAAAAAAAAAAATAAATAAAAGAGATGAACAAGTTAAGAAAAGAAAAGGGGAATGGTATTCTTTGAAGCATAATTAAGGAACATGTGGAGAGGCTCGTTGGCTTAAAAAGTGGATGCGTGAGCGGAATTTAGGTGGTTTTTGCACATGTTATGGACAAAGTATGGAAAACACTCTTTTCCTCATGCAATCTACGTGATTTTAAATTAGGTCATATTAAATAACAAACCTAGTAACTTTGATTTAGCACTTTATTTACTGTGTTATTCTGTATTACTAAACGTCTCAACCGTTTTCTTTTTATTCTTATCAAGAAAAATCGCAACACTCCAACGCGGATTCTTCTAATTCTATTCAAGACAGGGTAATTTGGTTGTCATTCTCCTTTAACGTTTTTTAAAACTATATTATTATTATTATTATAGACAGTCTTGAAATAAAAATTATAATGCATTTAAAATTCAATAATGATAATAATAATTTAATAATAAAAATAAGCATCCTAGTTGTAGCAGAACATGTTATTTTTGTTTGTTGTTCATGGTATAATTAATGCATCAAACAGTTTTAGAAATATAAAATAAAAAATAATATTAAATAATACTAACCTCCATGAATTTTCTTAATCTTTGCATGATATGTAATCAAAAGTTATTAATTATTTTTGGAAGGCGTTGATTGAAATTATATGTAAGTGGTGGCCCTGGCTAATAAATTCTGAATCGACAAACTCAGTTTGTTTGGTGGAACCACCTTCATGCACTTTTCTAATACATTTTTATATAATACATTTTATTGTTTATTATAATTTATTAAAAACTAAATAAACTTGTGAAAATATAATATTAAATAAAGAGCGGTGATATTTTCGTAACCACAAAACATACCTCTTTTAAATAATTCATTTTTATTAATATAATAATTTATTAAATGATTTAATAAAAATAAAAATAAAATAAAATAATTATTATTATAATATTAAAAGAGAGTTATTTATGAAAGTGGTAAGAATTTAGGTTGTGAAAGTATATATTTTTTTTTAATAAATTATTTAGTAACATGGAATATATTTTAACGAACGTATTAATTGCTGCTTTTCTTAATTTAGGTGGTGTGAACACAGGGTGTCGAGTAAAATGTAAGAATTTTTTTTTTTTCACACACAGTTTATTGTTTTTACGGCATGTATGTGCTTAAAAGAACTTATGAACCTAGGAATATGTTGTTACGTTATATCAATAATTTATCCATGGCTAACGTAGATGCATGGGGAGCAGAAAATCTTACGCGTAAAATAAATACTCCTTGATGCTACTACTACTGCGAATCTACTACACTTGTATCAAACATGGTTTTGGAAAGTCTAATAAGCATCCATGGAAACGCCATATGTACAGAAACATTCCTTCTATAGGATGCTAAACGATGAAGCTGCAACCTTTGTAACACTGTTTTTCTAATTGCACAAGGAACCACTAAAATGAGCTACAGATGAAAACAAACACTTTGAATCCGAGAAAATGAAAATCTAACTCCGACACCAAGCCATTTGATTTGAGTGGTAGGATGGAATATGAAGTATGAAGCATGGAATATGGGTGGTGTGGTGCATGCAGTTTGAAATAGTTGATCACCCTAGCTAGCTAACTCGATATATCTCTAAATTCTAACACAAACCATATGGGTTTAATTTCCATGTATCTACTTGGATGACTATGAGCTTTTAAATTGGATCTGCAATGATTACAGAAGGCATAGATTTTTGTCGAGAAGCTATATTTAGCAGATGCTGGGCATGTTGTTCCAGCGAGTTCCGAGAGTCCAAGCATACTCTTGATCAGCGGGGTCAGGTGGTGAAGCATTGGGCTGGTTTTCAAGTCCCAATGACTGACTTTCCCCTCTTCGGTACCACTCAGGCATTGGCATTTCTAAGGGAAACTGGTTCAGCAGACTAAACAGGTCATCGTCCATCGAGTTCATCTCCTCCAACGGATCCTCCCCCATCACTTTCTTCCCTGTATCAACCATCCAAATTCTCACATAAGTTCACGGAATCATCTCACATTTAACCATGAATTTTTATTTGTACAAATTATGAAAGCTTGATATACAGTTTATGTACACCCAAAGCCCATACAACATAACATCAAAGACAAGAAACATACCAAAAGAAAACGAGGAAGCAAGGTCAAGAATGAAACCTTTTATACAAAAAATGAAAAAAAGATGACTATTTTTTTAAGAGTCATCACTATTTCACCTATCATATAATAGTCGAATTACATAGTCTTAAATATGTTTTAATAAAACATTTTTATTAATAAAATTGGTTATGTTTGTAGAGGTCTACTGAACACATAAAAAAAAATTATATTTTTTAATGGAATAAAAATAAAATCTATTATATTTGAGAGGATAAGAAACAAAATTGTTATATTTAGAAAGACGTAGAACGTGTTCCTGGAAATGAATTCAAACAGAAACTAAAAAAGGTGACAACTAAATCAAGACCAAAAAAATAATTTACAGGTCTACAAACAAAAAATGCATAACATATTTAAATCAAATAGGAGTGTCAGAAATATATATGTTTAGACACTCACCTTTTTTTGGTTGAAATTATTAAAAATATAAAATTATGAAAGATCTAAATTTCTGATAAATTTAAAAGAGTATGATACTAACATTTACCAACCAAATATATATAATTGCAAGAAAAGAAAGAAAGAAAGAAATTTATGAAACATAGAGGAGAAGAGTGAAAATTTTTCACCTTTTGACAATTGAGAGGAGCTAATATCATCATCCCTCTGGTTTTCAGTAGTAGTACTGTTTCCACTGCTCTTCTTCATGGCTGACACCACAGGCGCAGTGCCTCCCTCCTCTGCATATTCCATGTTCTTTCTCTTACAAGATAGCTTCCCAGCTAGGGTTGGGTCCTCCTCACTCTTGGACTTGTCATTGTGAGAAAGTCCTTGGGCCTCCATGACTAAAGCATCCAGCAAGCCACTGTTTCCTGGAGGAGACAATGGTGCAACTTCATAGTAGTCATTATTATAGTTATTATTATTATTAACCATGCTTGAAGCTCCCATCAGGCCATCAACACCGCTAGCATATGATGAAGCAGGGGTTGGTGTTTGGTTGGAAGAGATGTCGGTGGTGGAGCCTCGCACCAAAGGAAAGGGTTCATATGGGGATTCTGCTATGTAGCCATGATCCCCAAAACTGTGGTTAAGAAGGGAGGAGGACGATGATCCATACGGAGAAAGAGGGGATAATGGCACAGCAAGATTTGAATTTCCACCATTTTCATTGGAAAACTTGAACTGCTGCTGGCTTGGATTAATGTAACAGTTGGCAGAATCAGGTTGGTTTTGCAGCGGGTTTGCATTGGAGCGATTGGGTTGGTCAGGGTCATTGATCTTCTTGGGGTAACAAGAAGATAGGAGCAAAGCAAATGATGCAGAAGAATGAGGTTGGTGTTCCAAGTAGCGGTTTTGTAGATGGTATGCAGTGGCTTCTGCATGCACTTCAGGAGGATAAATGGGTAACCCTGCTCTCTGACGCCTTTTCATTCTGGTGTTCCAAAAGTTCTTTATTTCATTGTCCGTCCTGCCAGGTAACTGAAACCAGAAACATGATAAGGGTGGTGACAGAAACAAGGTATACAGGAACCAAATCACGTAAAGGCGTGATAAAGTTCAGTGTTTAGCCTCGGAAACAAAAACTCAAGTGGGTCCTGACGGAAGTACATTGTTGAAAGAAATAAACAAAGATGCCAATTTCACATATTCAGACAAAAACACTGAGGTCAGCTCATAGAAAATCCAACATCTGACAATATCCATGAAACTGTAATTAATTTAAAAGAAAAGGGAAAAAGTGCCAAAAAGAAGCTCCATTGAAGTTCAAAAGGTAAGAAAGCGAATTTTTTATTTTTATAACAAAAGCTTTAACATTTAATGTTTTACTAATAAATTTGCGGAAACCAAACCCCTTCCTTGTTTCTGGTTCTTGGCCATAGATGGATAGCTTTCAAATCAAATTTAGAAGATCTCAACCAGATCCAAATCAGGAAATGAAAAAGAGGCTAGAAGCAAACAAATGCACATCATGTGAATTCAGCGAGGATGGTAGAAAAAGATCCACGCCAAAAGACAACGCGAGATGGAAGAAATTACAAACCAAACGGATGTTCACAACAATTACAAACCCAAAAAAACATAACTTTAAGTAAGCATTTTTATGTAAAGATATAGATATAGATACAAATATACCTGTGCGGCCATTCTAGCCCATTTGTTTCCAAGCTTGGAATGAAGGTCGATGATGATTTGCTCTTCCTCAGGAGAGAATGCACCTTTCTTGAGATTAGGCCTGAGATGGTTGGCCCAGCGAAGTCTACAACTTTTGCCGCACCTGAACAACCCAGAATTCTTGTGCACGGAGTTCCAATTCCCTTCACCGTGCTTTTTCACGTACTCTACAAGGATCGCGTCTTCCGCCGGGGTCCACGGCCCCTTCCTCACGCGACCTTTGACCTCGCCCTCGTCCTTGGTTGCAGTGTTGCTGTCATCTCCTGTTTCATCGTTGGTGCTGTCGTTGTTGGAGACTGTTCTCGCCATAACAGCAACAATTCACAGAATGCGAGGTCGGGGGTTACAGAAGAAGGTTGTGTGTATATACGAGAATGTTTGTTTTGTTCAATTATAGAGAGAGATATATATGGGAATGAGACACAGTTCTTGTTGCTGATGCTGGTGTCGTTGTCTCTCTCCTCTCAGGAGAATGAACGGAAAAGGGTGAAAGAGAGAGGGAAAGAGAGAGACAGAGAGGAGAGATGAATGGTGGTGAAGAATGAAGAAGAGACAGAGAGATGTAAAGGGAACAAGCCCTTCTGCCCTTTGTCTTCTCTTTGCTTCAGGTTTGATTTTGATATTGAGACAGAGATAGGTGATTTTTATGGGAGAAGAAGAAACTGGGAGATACAGAGAGAGAAAGAAAGAAGGGCGTGTGGGGCCCAGGCCAAAGCGTTGCAAAGGTTAATTTGGTGTTTGGAAACAAAGAAAAAAGAATGAAAGAGAGAGGCAAAGGGTGAAATATGTCATTAGAGGTGTGAGCTATTATTTCGCTCCGATTTGCATGCCCTGTGCTACGTTCTTTTTTCTGCTTATCATTTTCGCCCTTTTTTTAACTCCCCTACAATAAATAATATATATATATATATATATAAAAAAAATAGATACATATAAATTATTATGGGATAAAAATCACCTAAATCTAAAGTCTTACTCTGTCATTTTTGCTGTCTCTTTCAATAAAAGATCGTTATTTTATTTATTTAATCAGTAATTTAAATTCAATTTAATAATAAACTAAAAATTAAATTGTGTGACTATTTTTTATTAAAAACATATGAAAAAGAAAATATCTTCTTCATACATGTGATTTTAATCCTAAATTACGCGTCTATATAACCTTTACTGAATATTATATAGTTTAATATCTTTGGATTCAAATTTAATACATTTGCATTAGATTAGATGGATGCTGTTTTTTAAAATTAATTATTATACTGAAACGATTCGTTTAAAAGTTAAATATTTATTTTTTATTCTCATTATTATTTTTCATAATTTAATAATTTAAAACAATGAATATTTCGGTCATTAAATTATAAATAAAATAAATAAAAAAGATAAAAAGAAAACTCTAATTTTAGTGAATCTATTTATAAAAAAATTCACTTATTCTAAAAATAAGAATTATAAAATTTATTCTCAATTTTTATCATTTAACTTCTTATAATATAATAATTAAGATGATTTACTAAATTATATCATTATTTAAAAAATAAAAATAAATATTAAATCTTGACCTTTTAAGATATATTAATTATGGTTAACAAAGCCTATTTATTTTATTTTATAATATTATAAATATGAAGAATTTTTTAATATGTAAAAAAATAATTATTTTCTATAATATCTTTCTTTTATATTTTTATTTTCTATTGAAAATGATATAAATTAGAGATTTTATTCAAATAATTTAAATTTTTAGATACATAATATAAGAAAAAAAGTAATATAAGTGAACAAATTTCGGTGTAAAAATTTATTAAGTTGAATATTGTGTTGTAAAGAATTACTGTTTTTTTTTGTGTGTGTGTGTGTATGCCTAAAATTTTCAGTATTTAAAATTATTTAGCTATTTATGGAATTCTTATCTTAAATATTATGTTATTAGGCTTGAAGAGTTAGTCACACTGCCAATAATAATTATGTATAAGCATTATTATTGCTTTCAATAATTAATTTTTCATTAGAAAACATAAATCATATATTTTCTTGCCTGTCTCACTTTTGACTTATATTTTTAATAATAATTTGGATTATTTCATAAATTAATTATTTTCAAGTATATGTAATATACATTTTGACTGTTTTAATAATTCATCAATAACTTTTTTATACCTCTCTTTACAATACATATTGAATTTATAAGGATGTGTGTATATAAATTCCTGTTAGGTAAGTTATAGTTTATGGAAATGCGTAATTAAGGTTGGATTAATTTGATTTAAGTTTATATTTTTTTTAATTGTAAATTTAATACAATCAACACAAACTAATTAATCAAGCTGACATGAATGGAGTCTATTTGACTCGGGTTTTTTTAATGATAAATATTAGAATAAAAATATACACTGTCAATCAATAATTAATTACCACATTTTTAAATGTTCTAATAATTATTTTGAAGTCATATTAAGATGTTATTTAATTGGTTGAAAATATATCAAAATTAAAAAGTTAGATATTAACTATGAAAACCATTTAAAATGTTGATTGATAATCATTACTTGATAATATATATATATATATATATATATATATATATATATATAAATCTGTATAATAAATTTAATTATTGACTAAATTTAACTAAATATATATTTTATGTACAAGGATAAAAGTAATAAGTGTTGACTATAGCATTGGATAAAAAAAAGTTTAATTATATTATATATATATATATATATATATATATATATATATATATGTATGTATGCGCATTTTCAACATTTATTTATACTTAATACAATTTTTATTTAACATTTTCACTTTATTTATTAAAAATATTTGAAACAAATTATATATGTAACCATTATTCTAATTCAACTTTATGCAGATATTGTAATATTTTGAATTATGAATATATATGTCTATGAATTTATTTTGTATTCAAAAAAATTGTTTATTCAATTAATTTTACCAACATTTCATTTTAAAATAATTTAATTTAAATTCACATAAACTAAACTGATATAATATAGAGTAAAATTACTAAATGCATATTTAATTTAATGTGGTGTGAATAGGCATATGAAGTGTATATATGTTTTAACATAAATTTATTATATAGTTAATATAGTTTTCTGTAATGAAATTGTGTATTAGACTGCAAAATTAGTTAGAAGTCTTAATAAAAAAAATTGAATGAATAAACTTCTAACATGAACTTATCATTCAGGTGAAAATCCACCACATCATAAATGCATTAATTCAAATAATTAATACTTTAAATAGGGCATCTAGATAAAAGCACAATTGGATAACATGCAGAGCTTTTAAATGCCGTTTCTCAATCAAATAAATAAATAAATAAAGATTAATTTAACCGCATAATCCTTTTTTAAATAAAATATTATCTGTTTTAAAACTCATCTTTTAAGTTTAATATATATAAATTATTTAACTTATCTTTTGTTCTTTGTTTACAACACTATGCATTTTTCTGGTCACTCTAAGTCGCTTTATTGATTATTTTGTTCAATCTTTCTTTTCTGCGAAATTCTTGATTTAGGGTTTGAAGTCATTTTCAAATCTCTTGTGCTTTTCGTTTTTCAGAGAGGATTATCACATGGATGCTCTCCCTTCAAAGACTTCACGTGCGTTGTAACTGCTGGTGTTCTTCCTCAAAGACTTCAAGTGTTGACAACACATTATACTTCTTTTGCATTGTTTTTCATTTCACTAATGGAGTGGATACCTTGAAACTAATTAAATTTCTTTACGTTAAATCTCACTGATGTAGAATAAAAACTTATTATATCAGTTATGACATAACTGATGTAAAAAAATCAGATCCCAACACGTTGTCGATTTCTGGTCGGAGCAACTACCAGTTATCGTTGAACGGAGGTGCCGTCAGAAATAAAGTCACGACACCTTCATCCAAGTGCGTGGCACCGTCAATATTGAACAATCATATTGCAAAAATAAAAAATTAAAACCATGTAAGCCACAAGCTTGAAACGGACAAGGTCAATAATGGAATTTGTGGAATACTCACAGTGTGCCATCTACAGAATTAATTCATGAGTATTGCATAAATTATATCAATGATGCATCTATGTTTAGGGTTTAAAGTTTTTGTTATATTAATGATACATCTACGTTGAGCCTTTTCACACACACATTTGTTTTGATTCATATGAACGCAGAGGGGTATAAATGTCTAGAAAATATGACAATTTTACCTTTAAAATGTATTTTAAAAAGATAAATAGATTTAAAGAATAACCAAAGAACAATTTTATAAAACTTCTACCGAAAATATCACTAAGTGAATTATTAAAGTAATATTGTTATAAAATTTTTTATGTATTTATGTACGATGTTACCATTATCATCAATATATTTTCTATTTAAAAATTTAATTCTTTTAAAATTTTTATCTTTAATAATATATTAATAAATTAAGAGATTCTACTCGCAAATTCCCAACACTATTGTACAAAGGTTGGTAGAGGTTATAAGATTTGTAGAAGTTGTATTAAATAATAATAATAATAATAATAATAATAATAATAATAATAATAATAATAATAATAATAATAATAATAAAAAACCATCACCTATATGTAATAATGTAAATATAAAACTCCTTAGATAATTGGTAAGAGATATACAGGTTGGTACACTGTAATATCCATTACTTGCAACATCCCTAACATATGAAAAAAATAAAATTACAAATGGCAAACATAAAACGGCTAAGAAAAAAAGTAAACTATTTCTAAAATTGCAGCATTCTGAAACTTAAATACTAAAAAACCAAATTAGAAGAAAAAAAAAAAAGATATTACCCGATGCAGAGACGAAAGGGTACGTTTTGTCTACGTTCCATTTGTAGTTCCGTGTAGCCTTCCTTTTTTCCTTACCTTTGAAAACTTTCATTTTTTTTCTTTGTAGGCTCTTGTTTTTGTTGCTCCAAACCCTAACATTTCTTGTTTCCCCAAAACCAATGGCAGTACGTATATTCAATTGATTGAAGACAAATTTATCCCAAATATTGAATAGTTGTAAAAAATGTAAAAAGGTTATTTAAGTGATTTTCTTAGTCTAAAACTTTCTTATTTAATATATCTCTATGGATATTAAATAAATTTATGGAGTCGACTATATGTATTTATTACTTTAAAAACTATGTCACTATTTATTTATTTTAAAAAATTGATATATAAATTTGATGAAAATAGACGAAAAGTAATATAGTGAATAAAAAAAGTAATGTCAGTTAGGGTTCAAGATGAATGTTAAAAGTGTATATATATGAT